TGACAGGGGTGTTGGTAGGGTACGAACCCTTGACTTTGAATCCCGCGATAAGGCGGTACTGGGACATGACAGAGTTGACATCTACGTCGCTTTTACCAGTTAGGCGGGGGACTTGCTTGACATCAACAGGGGTCAACACTACATGCTTCTGCCGCGACAACGCGGCAGCGAACGAACGGGTCAAGTCCGGGACGGAGGGGGTGTACGACGAAGCACCGGCAGACACAGGCGGGGAACTGGATTCTGCCCTAACGGCGACTGCACGCAGACTCACCATCCTGTCCATCAGCTGCACTACGTGGTCGGGTAGCTGCTCCAGGCGACCATCGGTGACCAGGTCGAGGTGCCTGTCCACGACCGACTGGATCTTGGAGAGCGTGGAGGTGAGGTCCGTGGACGAAGAGGAGGCGGACGGAGCGCCGACGGAGGGCGCAGCGGTGGACGCCACGGACGGAGGAGGAGACGTGGTGATGACGAGGTCCTGGACGTTGGGTGGGGGTGGTGACGGTGGGTCGAAGCCCTTGGCCTCGACGTGGCCTCCGCTGGTGGGCGGAGTATCGCGGGCTTCGGCGACAGGTGGGACGAAGAGTTCGCCGGGTTGATCAATGGGCAATTCGCCGTTGTTGGCTAAATTGGACAAAGACAGCTGGTAGGCGAGGTCGTCGGTGGAAGTCATGGTGCGAGGAGGACAGCAGGCTAACCTGGAGCTGACGCCAATAAGGGTTCCCAATAAGGGTGTGAGCTACCTCGGACCGATGGAAGGGGTTGAACCTTCTCTCAACTGTAGGGACAGAGGAGACTTCCGGAGCGATCGGTGGGGACCGCTGGTGACAGACAGCGGGACAGAGTAGTTTCTCTAGGAAGAGCCAGTGGTGGTCTCTGGGAAGAGAGGGAAAGGGAAAAGAGTGAGAGACGAGGGGGGAGGCGAGGTGTGCACAGCGCACCGATCCTCAGCCCTGTCGACGCAGAACCAGCCTGACGTGGCGCAGTCTGCGCTGGCGTGATGACGCGCACAGCATCGGTACGGCCGGGGCTTTATCTCCCCGGGCGTGAGAGGACAAGACCATATGCCGGGCAGTTATGTCCGGGCGGGTGTAGTATGTGCGGTAGCCGGTCATGCGCATACAGTGGCATACATGCGCATGCGGACCGCACGGAAAGATCCGCAGAACCAGCGGAGGAACAGTTAGACAGAGGACAGAGGGCCTCAAGTGGAACCTATATGGCAGACAGACCAGTGACTCACAAAAACGGCCTTTGGCCGTTTTCATGATTTCATCGGGAATGGAAGATCCTCCCGATGATCTGGCGAATAGCCCGGGACATATTTCAAACTCGATCATCAGGAATTCCTGGTGATTTTTGTGAACATCAGGAAGCCTGAGTTTGCAATGCGTCATATGGTACCTGTGGATCAAGCAAGACTGCTCTGTTGGTTGTTGCTTGTTCTTGTCGTTTGTTTGCCGTGGTGTGTGTGCTGCATACTACATGCTCGTACTTTTAGTCAAGCATCTACTACTAGTCTACTACCGCAAGTTGTGTATATATTATGCCGTTCAACATCAACATGAATAGTCTATGTTCTGAACTCTGAGCATCAATATCATCTACCGTGGACATACTGAACTACTGGTGGTCCGGCTGCCGCCGACGCCTTTCTTGGCGTGTGGGGTAAGGTGAAGGTAGGTGTTGTTGTGTGGTCTTCTACATCTCTCCAGGGAGGGGCCAAAGTAGTGGCGGCGTCGACTGCGAGCCTCGAACTGGACAAGCTCATCAAGGCGCTGCTATAACGTCTTACCTTCGGTCTCAGTCGCTGTGGGTGCGCCGAGCGGGGCGGTGGGACAGCGACGAGATGTGAACAGCGATCGATGTATTGTACTGGATCATCATGTGCATAATACATCCTTCGGTTTGTGTGTCTCCCGCCACCATTCCTTCCAGTTGCCGTCCTCTGGGCGATGACTCCCATGTCGTTGACAGACTTGTTGGGTAGCTCGCAACACAAGATTGTTTATTTTATTGGTGGAAAGTCTAGTCTAGATAAAGTCGTGTGGATGATCGCGAACAATAAATACTTGTGTCGACAACGAATGAATGAATAAACATCCGTCGTGGCAAGCACTCTGTAGAGTAGATCATTTATTATCAGTTGATTTTTATGAGACGTATGTTGCAGAGAGGTCAGCGTGGGGATTCTTCAGCAAATAGTAGATGGATCATCAGCTACGCGGCGGGCAGTTTCACACCACAGAGAGCACGGCGGACCAGTAGATCGATTGATCGGGAGATTAATCATGGGCAGGTCGGCAGAACCCGTTTTCAAATACAGATGGCGCCTGCACTCTAGTTTCGACCGAGGCTGGGGTTCTTATTTTGCTGATCATCCTCGTGTGGGCTACAAATGGCCGCTATATAGGTTTTAGTCTGGGGTTCTTAACCGAGCTCACAAATGGTGCTCAAGTTCTCTGGTTTTTTGCGAGTCTCAATTTCTAAATGCTAAATTCTTAAGTGCGGGTGCTGTCTGTAACCCTTTTGCCTGCCCAAAACACCCCGTACGGCGCGCGATTCAGACATTTGGCTGCATTTTTAGACGGTAGCCGCCACTTGCCAATAAAAATGGAACAGCGCGGTCCTGAGAACGATACACAGAGAACGGTTTGGGTAACGCTCTGCGGTTCCTTCGTTTTGAATAAGCTGATCATCGGTGGTGAGAGAGGGAGCCGGTGCATGCGATGGGTGCGCTTCCAGTGTTGTCGGTCTGAAAGCCGATTTTTTCTCCAGTAGTTCAACAATCCTTTCGTCAAAAGGGATGTCCCATGAACGCCAAGCCTGTGACCACCACCGCTATTTTTGGCTATTTGCCGAGGCGCGCAACGACCCGACTGATATATATTCCGAAACACACCTGACAAGTATTCTGAAATACCTCTCAGGTGCTGCCGCGTCACCCCAAAGTTTTGTGCCGCTACACTTGTACATGTAGATGATATCACGCGCTAAATGCAGCGAAAAAGCACGCAGGCGATCTTGCGTATCGACCCTTGCACTCTCGCCGCCACCGTCTTGAGCTTTGCATGTTTTTAGACAGGTTGATGATTAGCCGGATGCGGTGCTCCTCTCTTGCCACCTGAGTCGCCATGTAGCACAACGAAACTTGCTTCGTCTGCTGAATGTTTGCTGCGCATGTGAGCAAGCAGCCAATTCCCATTTTCCTGAGTACCACCGATGTAATAGTTGGCGCTTGAGGTGTCCTCTTTTATCTTTCATAAGAATGCGGAGGGAAAATATTTTGCTTATTCAGTTCCGAACTGGTGGAAGACTTCACGGTATTCGGTATCGTGCTTTGCGGGGGCGGCTGGTGCGCCACACACTACACTCTCGTTGAAAATCATACCCCTTGCAGCCAACTGCTGCGCACGTTTCGATCACGGACACCATACACACACCAAACGGCAGCACTGCAACTCTCGACCCTCCCCAGCAAGTGTGGCACCGGAGGGAGTAATCCGCATCGGGCGTCTCGGCACAAGCATCCGACCTCTATCGCCCAGACGAAAGTAGACACCAAGAGGCAACCGCCTGCTGTGTGCACCCAAACTCAAGCTCAATCATTACATGGCTACTCCATCTTCAGACACGCCATCCAGCTCGCCCACAGGAGGCGCTGGAAGCATGCGGCCGGTTCGGCGGAAGCAAAGGGGCTGGGTGTTCAAGATTGATGGCATCGCGAACCATGGTGAGACTGCTGTGGCTGTTGGCTGTGCTACCGAAGCTTCATCATCATGTTGTGCACACGGGCAAAAAACTTGCATCAAAACATTTATGAAACGGACATGATCGCCTTCCGCGTTGCGACGTACTTACCTCGGTAGATTGCATGTGGAGATCCTATCGACAGGTGACTTTCCTGACCACCACCTCCAACCGCACGCGCAGCGCTGGGACCATTGCGCTCTCTTATCTCCTCACGGGCTTATGCCTCTTGCGTCGTGCCCCTTTGCTGTTGGCATCATCGTCAGAGATGACGGAAGAGGACCTGTTTTTCGCCGTCCGTGAGAGGTACACGACCGTCAAACGTCTAGCCCTCAAGAACGCTTCCCCAGGACCAGCATCAGAAGGGGCCGAACCTGCATCAAAAAGCACACATGATCGAGTCGGGTTCCAGGCAGCAGTAGCTGGTGGCGTCCTGGTCGAGATTCAGTTCGCAGGCCCCCAGCCCAGCGAGGGTTGCGGCGCGCTCCTGTGCCACCTTCTTCGTGGCACCTCCGTGGAAGCTAGGCCCGTGGAGCTACCGCGCGGTCGCAAGAAAAATACCGATGCTAGATCCGATGCTGGTGCCGCGGCTGCTGACGGTCATGTATTTTCAGGTGCGCTGCTGCTGCTGCGGCGGCAAGGAATACGCATCTGTCGGTGATGTTAATCCCAGCTACCTCTGTCTGGTAGTTGCTAGGCCGTGTGTGTGTGTATGCTGCTGATGCGTCATGCCATCGCGACGTTTTCCAAAAGCGAGAGGAGGAGTTTAGATCCTGCAACGAGTAGGTGGTAGCTGGATGGCAGTTCGCTTCATTCGGCAGTTATAGCTAGCGTGGAAATATTTGCCCGCCTACAAACTGCTGCTGGTCTGATCTGCTAGTGTAGTTCAGCCGGCTCTAACCCCAAAAGGTTGAAGGCACGCCCGCAAACACACTCTCGGACGGCCTGTGCTCCTTTATTGTGTGATCTTTTTCAGAGAGGAGTGACGCCTGTGTGTGGTGCGATCCCGTCTAATTATCAGAAAGAGAGAGCGGCTGAAAGAAAGGGCGGAAGATGGACCTTAAGCTAGCGTACAGCAGCACCAGCAGCAGCAGATGTGCAAAGAAGTGCCGTTCGGGAGGAGAGGATGAAAAGTCTCAATAAAAATATAGTCTGTCCATCCAGAAAATAACAAAAATGCACGCGGTAGATGGACGTTGGAGACGGCTTACCGTGATTATCATCATATCTCACGCGCAAGGAAGAAGTCTGCTATATCTATATGAATATGTAGTACAACATGTTTCTGGAGGAAGATATGCATATGTACCTGGTGACATGTTGTGGTACCTGGATCATTGGCCTTGTGTATTGATTCAAACTTGGTAGACTAAACAGTTGTTGAAGTAGGAATACTGTAGTTTTAGTCTGCGGTAGATTTGTTGAACCGTAAAGGCCGTTCCACTAGTCTAATTATTTATTTTATTTTTATTTTATTTGTTTCTGATTATATTTTGTTTTCTTGTATTTTATCGCTCTGCTGACCCTTGGGGTCCATTTTATTTTGGTATACCTTTTCTAGGTACGTTAGCCTGTGACCACGGAAATTGGCCGAGTCAAGTGATGGATTAGTACGGAGAGATTGAGACAGAAGGAGGTACTGGATAGAGAGACCGGGATGGTTTTTAATGTGAAGACAACAACAACAACAACAAAGAAAAGATGCGAAGGTTGGCACGGGGCCGAAGAGATGGAACGACAAGCCGAGAGGTCGCATCCACCCCCCTTTGTGAAAGAAAGCCTGTTGAAATTATTTTATTGGTGTTTGCGCTTGCGATTTCTCCGACCCGCGCCTACTGCCGGGCGTTGAGTTGCACGCTATCATCACGAATCGATCAATGAGACATACACACACGAACGAGATCCTCCGGTTTGTCTGGCTGTCTCGCAACATACCCTATCGCGAGGCTCCACCCCTGCTGTGCGTACTCTAGTCAGTTTGGCAGCGGACACAGAAAATAGTATGTGTCTTTTTTTGGGAAAAGGTAAATCATCAGCCAAAACCTCGGTCAAACCATCAGCAAAAGAAAACGGTTGTACGGTCGCGATGGTTGGTACAGGCCCGGCGAGATGGCACAGGTCAAAGAGATCGCCCCCCCCCCGCACGCGTTTTTGTTCGATAATCAAGCCAGTGGGTTTTTGCAAAGGGATCAGAGATGTGGCATAGGACGGAGAGGGAGGAGGTCGTACCCCCGTGCGACAAAAGGAACAGTTTTAGATATTTAACAGGTTGATCGCACACACGCCCACAGCAGTACTTTCGTATCCTCACGGTATCTTCCACACAAGTATAAGACGATGCTGTGTATGAGACAATGGCATAGCCGCTGACGACGCGGCCTGTGACCACGGAAGGATGCGTTCTAGTTGGACCAGCACGGATGCAGACGATACGGAGCAGACAGGTTTTTTGTTGTGCGTTGTCTCCACCGAAAACTAAGGTCAAGACTACAACTGTAGCTTTTTCACGCGCTCGTTTCGTACGTAGTTATCTGTCTGGACTACCATCTGTGTTTTATCGGACGGGAGGGGGTGAACTACAGTAGGCGCATCTCCATTGAGACCAGCACCCCGTTTTCCAGTGGGACACACAGACACACGAAGAGATTCGTAAATGTACCGTGCTTTCTGACAAATGCCGATTGCTGACATTGCTCTCGTCTACTCAGGTGAGTCTTCGTCTACGGGTAGGTGCGCATGTGCACGTACATGTTTAGTCATTCCGCATGAAAATCATCGGTTGGTGCCATCGATTGTAAACACGATCGACGTACGGACATGGTGGTCGATCTTATTCTCTAAAGCTATGTATCGGCGCAATATTTTGGAATAAATGTAACGTCACTTGTCGGTTGTCAACGGTACGCCGAAGAGGCGCGCCGTATGCATATACCCTATATAGCTCAACGGACACCCACCGCTCGTTCTCCGAATCAACCCATCTATCGACAACATTGACCTTCGCGGCGCCGCCCCCATCCCGGCGTACGTCAAACAGGGGCAGGGTATGGGGGTAGCATGCTGTTGCCACCGCACCAGGGGTTCGATGACCAAGGTCTGCTTTTCCCCGGGATGCAGCATCCGCTCGGGGGTCACCCGTCCTACTCTGGGTCCGGCGAAGGCCAACACCCGCTGTTCTCGTCGGGCCATGGTTTCGGCGGCGCCGGCATGGCCGAGGAGCGCAGGCTGCCGATAGAGGGGGTCGTGGTCGCGCTGGCCCGCAAGGTGGGTGGTACGCGCCGCGTCCGGCGTTGACAAATAGCTTATCGTCGCGTTGCCGGCGCGTGATTCTGTTGCCCCTCGTCGTGTGGTAAGAACGCGCAGCTCGTATGCTTGCATTTCGCACGACCGACGAGGCCGTTTCATACACAGAACGGGGGCGGAGATATGAAACGTCAAAATCGGGTCGAAGTTCGGTTTATTGTTTCATCGCCGCTATCGAAGCAAGATGTCGGTTGTGCCCGTGCGCCGCGGATACTGGGGCCGCAGGAACAGCATGCCGTAACGGGCTCGTAGAGGAACAGCTTGTTATGTAGATTTTAGTATGGGATCCACCGCTGAGATGTGTTTCATAGCCCTATTTTCATATCTTTTGCGAGAATTTGAGCCTCTGCTTCTCAACTATGAATGGATACTTCAAAGTATATCTTGACTGCGGGCCCGCTCTGTAGCCCTGCTGCCGTGTCCCCAACCCGGTTACATCCTCCCGCTGGTATCGAACGGGAGCAGGAGCGACCCGTGCACAACGTAAGCAAGCCTCCTTCCCCCTCCTCAGCCAAGTGCTCGGCGGACACGCGACGTACAAAGCATGAATACATTTTTTTTGGGTTGTACTGTAGCGTCCACGTGAACGACTCACATACACGCTGCGACCTGATGGATCCCCCGATCGCACCCTCCCACATCTCTCGTTCCCAGCCTTTCCCAACCCCCCACGCTCCCCGGCCTCGTACTTCCGCGGCATGACTCTTCAACACCATAACCCCGACGGCCACCCCGCGGCTACAGGAATGTGACTTCGAAGGTCGCCCGCTTCCCGGGGGCGGCAGCGGTATGACTCCAAGCAGCACTGTCTCCTCGAACGGCCGCGATACCCACGTTGTGTTCACGGGGCTACACAACACCGGCCATGACCCCCGGGGCCTGCGCGTCACGGTGATCTTCGGAGTCGATGCTGTGCACCAGATTGCCTGCGTCACGAGCCCTGTCCAGGTGGGTTGCGGCGAAATGTACAGTAGTGGTCCCGACGTGTTGCGGTTTAGGGACAAACCGAAATCGCCGCATTGTATCGGGAGCCTGCTGAGCGGGTGGTGTGCGTGCGCCTCTATTTTGGCTGAGCGTTCGGGTGGCGGTCCCTGGATAGGGCTAGGATGTTGTGCCAAGGAATTATCACCGCGACATATGCATGGAGAACCGCGCTACTGGGGACCGCGATATACCGGGAGGACCAGTCCATAGCCGAACTCTTGATAGGGACCGCCTCTCGGCTGTCTCGCGCGCGTGCCCAGGCCGTTACTGTTGGAGCCTCAAGTGCGAGACTCAGCAATGATACACTATCCTGTGCCTCCGCCCCCCCAATCTTGTTGTCTTACCTGTGTTTCTGCTGTGTGTCTTTCGTCCCTTCTCCAGGTCGCAGCCGATGGGCGGGCGTACTCTCGGGTGTTTTACCCCAGTCTGGAAGACGTCTGGCCGGAGCTGTACTACACGGTTGACGTCCGAGCGGTTGAGGTGCGGTGGGAGGGCCGCGCACATCCCCCGCGTATCGTGTCTGTTGCTGCTGCCGACGTCGACGTCGGCCCATTTAGGATCAGATACCACAAGCATGCGAGAAAGACCGTGACACCTCCCCAGCAAAAGATATTCCCGACGCCTACGGATGGCAGACATATACCCGGATCGCAGCTATTGGTGCCTTCCGCCTCCTCTACGGGTCTCTCCAATGTTCGAAAAAAAAGGCGTCTCCGTAGACATTGCATGGGAGTTGAAGTCAAGCCGTGGCGCTGATGAGAGATCTCTCGCCCGCGAGTGCATAACAAGAAGTTCTGAGCATTGACGAGGGGTTGTTGGCACCTGGCTCTCGTAAAATATTGCTGACAAGCACCGCTCACCTAGCCTCCATTTTGACCCAAAGCGGCTCCCGAAGTGGTGGCCAATTCGTGGCTGGCTTTTCTCCCGCGCGCAAAAGAATAGATCGGTTGGGAAATCAGGTCTGGCCTCCAGCGTGCGTCCGCACCTTCGCCCTCCACCCAACCTTAACGGTGTCAGGTTGCTCTGTTTCATTCCCAGGTCGACGTTGCCGTCGAAATTCTCTCCGACGATGGTCGCGAGTTCCGGTACGTGGGCCCCCACCTCAAGGTAAGACGTGTGGTCAGGAAACTCGGGGTGTCCCTTTGGTGAGCGATTGTTCGGATGAATGGATTATGTTAGCCGGCTGTCGGCGTGGCTGTTGTAAGCATTATCCGTGCGGTCGTGTGATGCGCTCGGCAAGGCAAGAGCAGGTTTGAATTCAACCGTGGCAAAGTCGCTGAGAGTTGGTTGCGGTGGAGGAGGGGCGTGCTTATGCCTTGCATGTCTTCGCGGTTAGACCGTTGACCGCTCGAGAGGACGGAGCATCGTTCCTACAAGACCGATCACCGATGGCCAATCATTCCTACCCCTTGCGGTGGGGGGTAAACTACTGCGGGAAGAAAAGGGGACCGTTGAGGAGGACATGGAGAACCGCAGTTGAAACGATTGCCTTGTAGCTTCATGTTTGTTTAGGCTAGATGGCGTCGTGAAAAAGTGGACTTGCTAAATATCTTACACGAGGAGAAAAGAGAGTGGCCGCACAAACACCAGAAATGGATTAATGTGTAAGAGAGCCAAGATCGCCGATAGAAGAGCACAAGGCAGACGACAACGAGCGCCCAACAAGGACGCTGGCGGTATCTCGCGTTTGGAACTACAGTAAATGTATTCGCACCTATACTTCTTGCTTGGTGAACGGCCACGGTAGGCAACCAATAAATGCCCCCCAACTCCCCCGGACACGTACGAACAACAGGTGGGGTACACACGCATCACGCCCCCCGTCAGCGCCATGGGAATGATTTCGGCGGCCTTTTCGGCATCGTCCGGAAATCCGTCCGCAGCCATGAGGCAGCCCGGTTTCCCGGGGGGCGCCGCCTCTGCGGAGCAGCAGCAGCAATGGCAGCAGCAGCAGCAGCAGCAGCAGCAAGCATGGTGGCAGCAGCAGCAGCGACGAGGCCTCTAACAGCCCCTTCGCAAGGTGAACCCTGGTCGGTGGAATACGGGACTTGGTCCCTCACGTGGGTACCCCGAATTTCCCTTCCCGTTTGTCCCTTCGAGTTGTAACCGCCGGGGCACCTCTTCTCCAGGCACTCACTGTGTTTTTTTCTTCTCTTGGTGATTTTAGGTGCATATGTTACGCTGTATGTTCCTGTAGCGATGTGGCTGGCTCGCATCTTTACGTGGTAGCCTTCATCGCCCGCTCGGTTATCCTTGACGGCGGTCTGTTCTGTGTCATTGTTGGGTTTGCGGCTGTGGCGCCCCTCGCACGAACAGCTTACATGTTGTTGGTCTTTCGCGCGAAGGTGGCCACTGCAGCCTCCCCCTCCCCCGTAGTCTAGTGTGTTGGCCATGTCGTTATTGCTCTTGGGGAGCGAGCGATCCCAGCACTAGCGATCTGGCAACAACCCCCAACTCAAAGGGTTTGTTGATCAATGTGTATCCATTTGTTTTATGCAACGTGTAAGCTTTGCTTGGTAAGGACGGAAAGCAGTGTTTCGGTCGCTCTCAGTCCCGACATGAGTGAGTTCGCCTTTGTTTGTGTTTCGACCCCCGCGGTTGTTTGTCGCCGGTCTGGGGACCTTTCGAAGTTCGCTGTATCCTCTGCTCTCGTTGTCCCACCATCGTGAGCAGCTTCTCCCCTCCTTACAAGCTGTTCGACTTCCTAGGCTTGTTGTATTAGAAACCGTCTTGATTCCCTTCCGGTGTTGATGAGAAGACGAGCATGTGGTTTGGCGTAGTGTCTGGATATTTGGAAGCCGCAGATGAGTCCTACTGTTATCGCTACTGTCCTGTGCACGGTATTGTGTTTTCTTCAAGATGGTGCTGCAGTATGACAAGCTTGGATCACCCAAACCATCGGTACAAGAGATGGATGTTGTTGGGTCAATTGTACGTATCCCGAACGCTTTTTCTGGTGTTTAAGTACCATCATCTTGTTGTGGAATTTTACATGTGCATTGGTTCGTGTCGTACATTGCTGTGACCCGTCGCACCGTTTGTTCTGGTACTCTTGTTTAGCTTTTTTTTTGTGTGTTTTTTTGTGGTGGAGATGGTGGTACGTCGCGCACGCATACTTGGAACGAAAGGTGTCGTCAAATAACTAGGTTTGATCGGTTTCATGTACGCGTGGTGTTGGCGGCCTTTCCCTCCATCATGTTTTTTTCTAGTGTTCTTTGTAATAATGGCGGGATGTTATGGCCTCCCCCTCTGTTCTATTTATCGAATTATTGTTGCTTGCTATTTTTCCCTTGGTTTTCTTGCTCTGCTACATCGGAGATAGCCTTTGGAAGTTTCTTGTCGTTTCACGCGAACCGTTTCACTTGTTCCGATAAGGATGAGTGACGAATGCGCACTGAAATAACTGATGTACACAAGGGCAAGAGGGTGATGTTTGATGGGTCTCAGGAAGCCACGTCGAAGGCAGGAGGGCATCGATCGTGTCCAGCATGTTTGCAGCGACTGTATACTAGGTTCATTCTGCGGGGCTTTGGATTGGGTTTCTTCAGCTGAGAGAGCGCAAGGTCATGGGCTAGGTGTGAACTACGAGGGGCGTGCGTAGAAGAGCTAGCATCTCAGACGGCCACTGCCGGCGGGGGGAGGGAGGACCGGAGCGTGTGTTGGAGTTCAAAAAGGTGAAATGTTTTCTGTGGCGAAGAGGATGACTCGGTTCGCGCTTGAGCGTGCGCATACAGGCAGCGCAGGTCAGAACTCACAACGTCGGCGCATCAGCGCTAGGAGGATCACAAGGATATCTAGATTTGCGCGAGTAGACAAAAAAGCCAGTGCTTTTTTCTTTCTGTCGGACCTGTTGCTCCTGGAGCAACAGTATGTAACGCTTCTCGTTTGTGTCTTAGGCGCTCTGCGCGATGCGGGGGGACGAAACAACCGCCTCGTTGTGCCGGTTTCAGCTGCTCCAGGAGTATCGGCTATTCGGCCGGGGCCGCTAGTGGGGGTCTGTCCGAGTAGGAATCGTACGATATTAGGGGTCCAACGTGCGTGGCACGAGGCGCTAGGCGCGGGTAGTGGTGGGGGGGGCGTGTGTCTGTCGGTAGAATTTGGATACATGTTGTCACCTCCCCTTGTCTGAGAGCGCTTATCCCTTTCGGTGCGGTACAAGTAGTGAGGAGGCTAAGGTGTAGGGTGCTCGCAAGGCTATTATTGTCCGGTTGGTGAACCTCGAAACAGGTCGGCCTGCAATCGTGGAAGGAAGCAAAGACGACGCTGGCCGCAGGGGAGAGATGTCGGATAGAATAGTAGTGCAGGGAGAGGGCAGACGGACGGAAGATCCGGGCATGTCCAAGGTACATAACCGGAATAAATATGGAATACGTAAACATGGTGCACCTCAAACTAGCGAAGGGAGGGGAGACAACGGCAAAGCAGGGTCGGAAAATCACCAAGTTAGGCAGGAATACGAAGCCGTCTCGCTAACTCTCGATGTTGGTGGGTGCCGATGGAAATAGTATCATTGGGGGTCTCGGTATGTTGGGACGGCAATATTGGGGACTGGTTTGTTGGCGTGGTAGTGAAGCTTGGATTATGAGTGAGACATGAGGGAAGCGGCCGGTGTCGCACCCTTCGTTACCTTCCAGACTTTGTAGGTAAAAATAACCGGGCAGAACATGCAGGGCCGTCCAAGTCAAGTCTCACATCGTACGCGCAACAGTGCTTGGAGGAGCACAGGGATAGATGGACGTATGAGTAGACAACAGCGCCGGTTTCTGTCTGACCAGTTGTTTCTGGTGCTAGTGTTGTCTTTCTTCCCACCCATTTCACCTTTTGTTTTTCCAAATTGTGGGTGGTGTGGGGAAGTCACGATAACTGGGGTACGAGTACCACGTAGTACCACTCCCTTGACTACATGTGGAGTGCTATTTTCGACGATGGACTGGTGGTACTCAGAGGGTCTGCTGGTTGGATGTTGATGGTAGAGTACCATTGGGGGATCTCGGAGTATTGAGACGGCAGTTGTTGGGCCCCAGCCAGTTTGATGCTAAATATGAAACGAGGGAAGCAGCGACCGGTGCCGCGCCAGTGTTACCCTCCAGACCTCGTAGAAAAAAGCAACACGTCAATGTTTTCAACTTCGGAGAGAATGGCCCCATGAATGGATGTCTTGCGTGAACAAGAAGAGCAACACCCGGATGTTTAGTTGAGGGTTACCTGTGGCCTTTGGTCGTCAGCTGCAACCTCGGGTCAGCGATGAGTGACGCTCAATAGTGCTTCCGTTCGCTCGAACGGTCCCGAGAGCGGTCCCGACGGGCATTCATTCGGTCTGGTTTAGCAGCGATACCGATCTGTCGAACGAATCCACTGCTGTACAATGCCACAAGTGTCTTGGCCCTCGTCTGTCCACACTGATTCCTAGGCGAAATCATCTGCACGCAACAACAGGTACATACTGCTGGGGAATAGTCTAGATCTAAGCGTCACGACAACAGTAGTAGCGACCTAGCGTGTGCCAGTCAGTCCGCGTTTGATCCTGGAGCGACAATCTCTTTGATAGGTCAACAGGTTCCATGGCAAACATGTGACCTCGCGGGCAACCGTTACCCGTAACATCAACCTCTGCGCGGCCATGTATAAGGGGCGAGCAGGTGGGCTACAGCAGTTGGCTTTGAATACAGCGGCGAACTTCTGGGAAGATTTTGACACAAAGCTGAAAGTTGACAAGTTGCAAGAAGAGTTTTTTTGCCCACCGTGCGTACGTGAAAGATGGGACGCTGAGGGGTTTTGACCCTTAATATCCGTCTGGCTGTTTCCTTGAAAATATACACACACAATTACAGAAGGGTGGTGTTGAAGACATTAGCCCATCACTTCAGTACGCCGTGTGGGGCGCAGATGTGCTACATGAGCGGCAGGTGTGACAATAATATCCAACAACAGCCGGAAGTCTAGTCTATCGTCTAGTCTAGGCTAGTCTAGTCTAGTCTAAAGTCAAGTAGGTTTCCGCCATGCAGTGGATAGTACCTGACAAAAAAAAAATTATCCCCTCTACTTGGCACTCCTTTGTTCCTTTCGCTACCACCATAAGCTTGACTTCTAGCCCTCAGGGACTATCTTCTTACCAGCGGGAATATAACATAAACGTGCAGTCGTGGTCGACGAACCTACACGCTTGACGGCTGAAGGCTGCAACTGACGGGTTGTAGTTGTGTAACCTCTGCGTCGCCAGCCCCCGTGTGGGCAAACACGCAGCAAGCGTTTATGTATGCCACCGATTGAACGGCTGAAGGGCACCCACCCGCCTTCAAGAACTAGGACAATGATGCTCCTTCAGCGGTTATTTTCTACGTGGGATGCCATGGCCCCGGTGGTCTAGTTGGTATCCCCGAAACCCTCTAGATAGAGGTCAGGTCAGGGGTTCGAATCCCGGCGTAAGCGAGCTTTTCTTTCAAAGTGAGTTTTCCCCTCGCTTCCGCTCCTGGCCTCTAGTGAATAGCGCTAGTTCGCGTGTACACAGAGGGAAGAGAGTGTCGAACTCTTCTCGCATTAAAAATCGAAGGCAAAGTACCGCAGGAGGGGAGGGTAGAGAGGGGCTCTCCTGTGTGACCACGGGTTGGAGTAAACGGCATCATCAGTGCTGTGAGCGCTGATTTGAAGTGAAGGCAAAAAAAAAAATAACATGTGTTGCGGTTTTGTTTGAGTCATCTGTTATATAGATATTAGCTTCTGACACGATGACTGTTGGATCTTGGGAGTGTACGATAATCAATTTGATTGGGAGATACAGCATACCACGATATCCTGGCTTCGGCTGGGCTTGAAATAACCCTTTTGCTGTCCTCCGCTCTTTGCATCAGTGGCTTCCTAGGTTCGGGCGAGGGCATGTGTGGAGCTATGGCAGTGTATGTGTTGCTATTTTGTTTGAGTCATCTGTTATATAGATATTAGCTTCTGACACGATGACTGTTGGATCTTGGGAGTGTACGATAATCAATTTGATTGGGAGATACAGCATACCACGATATCCTGGCTTCGGCTGGGCTTGAAATAACCCTTTTGCTGTCCTCCGCTCTTTGCATCAGTGGCTTCCTAGGTTCGGGCGAGGGCATGTGTGGAGCTATGGCAGTGTATGTGTTGCTATTTTGTTTGAGTCATCTAGCTGCTGACACAATGACTGTTGGATCTTGGGAGTGTACGATAATCAATTTGATTGGGAGATACAGCATACCACGATATCCTGGCTTCGGCTGGGCTTGAAATAACCCTTTTGCTGTCCTCCGCTCTTTGCATCAGTGGCTTCCTAGATTCGAGCGAGGGCATTTGTGTAGCTGAGATGTGTGTCTTCGTGAAAGAACATGTGGAGAGAGTCGTACTGGCATTCGCATCAAACGTATTGGGCATTTTTCGAATTTTGGCCCCCTTCCAGGGACCTTGATTTTTACCCGCTGGCACTGACGTCTTTTAATTGGTCAGCCGGTTAGCGCGGTCGATGCTATTAGTAAAAACACACACACTTTTTTTTGCTGCCCTCCGCTCTTTGCATCAGTGGCTTCCTAGATTCGAGCGAGGGCATTTGTGTAGCTGAGATGTGTGTCTTCGTGAAAGAACATGTGGAGAGAGTCGTACTGGCATTCGCATCAAACGTATTGGGCATTTTTCGAATTTTGGCCCCCTTCCAGGGACCTTGATTTTTACCCGCTGGCACTGACGTCTTTTAATTGGTCAGCCGGTTAGCGCGGTCGATGCTATTAGTAAAAACACACACACTTTTTTTTGCTGCCCTCCGCTCTTTGCATCAGTGGCTTCCTAGGTTCGGGCGAGGGCATGTGTGGAGCTATGGCCGTGTATGTGTTGCTATTTTGTTTGAGTCATCTAGCTGCTGACACGATGACTGTTGGATCTTGGGAGTGTGTACAATTATCAAATTGGGAGATGCAGCATAGTCTACTACGATATCCTGGCTTCGGCTGGGCTTGAAATAGTCTAACCCTTTTCTCTTTGCATCAGTGGCTTCCTAGGTTCGGACGAGGGCATGTGTGTAGCTGAGATGTGTGTCTTCGTGAAAGAACATGTAGAGAGAGTCGTATTGGCATTCGCATCAAGCGCATTGCGCATTTTTCGAATTTTGGCCCCCTTCCAGGGACCTTGATTTTTACCCGCTGGCACTGACGTCTTTTTATTGGTCAGCCGGTTAGCGCGGTCGTGCTAATAATAAAAAAGACACACACAACACGCACACATTACGTTTCGCTGGGTTCGCTGCCGATCCACCTGTAGACTAGATGAAGATTTCGGCTGCCGCACAATCATCTGTAGAGATGTGTTTCTGTTGCTAGAAGAACAGAGATGCGTTGGCGGCGTAGCAGATGAGGTGGTGCAACATCACTGCAGTCATACCCCTGGGTGGGTACTTGTTTCAGTGGCGGCCCGGGACCGGCTGGACTTGAGTTTTGTGGTCCGAGGCAAATCAGCGAGGGCAGGCACAGGTTGACTTACGCCGGGGGGTCACGCAGATGGGCCTCATGGGGGTGTATTCGAATGCAGGCCGACAACACCAAGCCCGGCCAGGGTTACCGGTTGGGGCACACAGGCGGCGGAGCCCTATCGCAACTGCCCGCCGGCGAAGCTATGGTGAGTCCATGGATGTGTGGGTGCTTGTCTCCTTTCCCCTCATATCCCACTTGGGGGTTCAGCTCCAGTTGGCGGGCATTTAACACAGCAGAGGCCAATGCTCTCCTCTCCCCCCGCTGTCTCTCTCCGCTCTCCCGGGACTTGCACAGCTTGTGATACGTGCAGCTTCGCGAGACAGCAGTCGACAGAGAGCTCGTTTCTTCTCGGAGTGGGGCACGTACACGTAGAGACAACGATGATTCCACCCGTGATGCCAATAACATGCTTGCCCATCTTTTGCACGCATCGTGGCTTTGGGCACCAACCAAGGAACGTTCTTCGTACACGCGTATCATAAGAACATCACCATGCTGTTTGCAGTTCATTTTTGGGCGTAGTAGGCTTTTCACGTACTTCAAGTATGGTCTTGGGGATTTACTGCAAGCTACCCCTGTTTTTAGCCGGGCCTCTGCCTCCCGCGCATGACGCGAACAGCGCCGTTGCGCGTCACTTATGGTCAGCGCGAAACCATTTTTTGCATCTATCTTGAGTCCCATACGGTAGGTTGCGAAAGATACCCCTCCCCCGCCCCCCCCCCGGATCTCTTCGTCAGAACTTGATGATTCTGCAGCTGAGATGGCTCCGGCGTTGGAGCGTTATCTCGTCGAGGGCTAGCCTGCAACATGTCCTTCTAGTGTAGCATGGCATTTTCTTCGTGAGTTGGAGACAACGAGTCGTTATTATTGGTCCAGGGGGTGTCGTGTCTATGCCACCTTGGCGGCACTGCCACTACTGCTGTAGGACTGGTTACACACATTGACGCCGGACATATAACATGTTGTTTCTCTGTTAGCTTTTTGCATGTTCTTGCATCACCCCTTGCGGCGGTGCTCTCTTTACCCCACTCCGGAGGGATGCCTTTTACCACTTGTTTTTTTGTCAATTGGTCCAAATAGGGTATGTGATGCATCACCCCTACAGCACCTGGTAGGACGTAGTATTAAAAATTTAATATCCTGCGTTTGCAAGGTGGCTCTTGCCCGTCTATATGGAAGGAGGCAAGTGGGAGCGGACCGACACCGCGTACCGCGCAGACGAATGCATCACAACATGTGCGCGATCGATTTCCAGACCTCGATCGCCTTGCAACCAAGAGGCTGTGTATTTCAGTATGTAAAAATGCCAGTGAGAAGCAGAAGGTTGCCTTTTATTGAGAAAATATCTCGTTTCGGGATAGCTCCTTCCTTGCAAATGACGGTCCGGTTTGGATAGCACCCTCTTGTTAAGAAAGTTAATAACCTCAATACAAAAGACTACCCGATCGAGATATAATGACCACAGCAGTAGTGGGGGGAGTGTACTCATAGTCGTGCATGCCGTGTCGTTAGATCATTGACCTCGCATCCCTACAAAACCGGGACGGAGCACGCCGGGTTCTCGCTATCTCATCACCAAGCGCGAAGCGCCGTGAGGTATTCGGCGAGTCGCGTGAAGCGTGCGCTGCATCCTGGTAAGGGTGTTCGGCATCTTGTGCTCGCTTCCTTGCGTACGGACTGTGGTGGAGTGGGATATATGTTGAAGTCTTTGCAGCGAGTGAGAGAAAAACAGGCTGGATACCGCCCTTGTTTTGAACTATTTTAGCCCATGTACATAGGCGCTGAATTATTCCGGTGATGCCAACTGTTGCTACTTACAATAATCACATGTGTGATTAAGACATTAATTATTCCCTTTTAGTTGCGGAACAACGGACTTTCGTAATACAATAGATCGCAATCCTGTGCATTCTCGCACACTTTTTCGACGGTGCGCACCGTTCTAGTCTAAATTCTGAAGGCGCGAAATATATTGTGTTGAGGGTATCCTAGCCCCGGCTGGAACCACGTGCTGCCAATGGTGCAACTACAAGTTCTCCCGACCGCTTTGCGTGCTTTTCGGCACCTTGCTCCAGAAGCGTGCGATGGCCGCTTTGTCTCTTGGGGGCCTCGGCGACCATCTCATGCACTTTTATCAGGCACAGGCGTCGTTGAAACGCTTTCCTGCATTGCTCATGTACCCATGCCCGTAAAATCGGATCTGCCACAAGTAAGCTTAACCAACGGCAGGCAGCAGTGGAGTCCTCGTTTTTCCTGTCGTATTTCGTGCTCCCCGAAAGGCTCTTTGAACCAATCGCCGCACTATACCCTTCACCGGCGCTTCTTCTATCAACAAGACGTCGGGCTCTCCAACCACAGCAACGTTCACCCCATGGTTGACATGGTTTACCATAGTTTTGGGGGGGCGACATCTTGCAGCAGTACATAACTTGTCTAGTGACAGACGACCGGACCAACACCATCAGATGGGTTTTGGCCACCAAAGGCCAACACGTACGAGGGAATGCCACAAGCTGTCTTTCGTGGAATCTGGCAGAACACGACATGCGTGTCCATGGGTTAAAATGTCCAAGCCAACCAATAGCCTTCCCCCCCCCCCCCCCCCCCCCCCCCCCCCCCCCCCCCCCCCC